TCCCCCAAACGATCAATTACCAGCCACCCTTCTGCCGGGAGCGGCGAGGGGCTGGCTGGCGGCCGCGAGGAAACGGCAGCCCGGATCACTTCTGCATGACAATTGATGGGAGGGAGGGCTCGAGGCGAGGAGGGAGGACGGCGGTGGTGTCCGTTTTCTCACCATGGTGATTAGGCATTCCGGCCGTGCGAGGAGGCAGCCGCCGACCAGAGCGGCGCGTCGTGGAGCGAGGACAGGGAGAGAGCGAGAGCTAGAGCGGGAGCGAGCCCAGCCGCCCGGCGGGCGGGCGGGCGGGCAGGCGGGCGGCGCGCTGAGTCGAGCCAAGCCAAGCCAGGCCAGATGGCTCTGCAGCCATCAGGGACTGCTCCCGTCCAGCCCGGCCCCACTTTAGCTGTGCAAACATTTCTTTATCCCAACAAGACAATTAAACCCAGCAGCATGAAAAGGAGTCTCTATGACTGTGTTGGGAGTGAACAACCAGAAACAACCTCACACATCACAGGAGTGCTTCCCGGCAGCGCCCAGCGAGGAAGGAGAAATGGGACACCAGGAGAACCCCAGAGCAGCTCAACAACAACAACAGTTTTAGGCAGTCAGTACAGGGGATGCCATCTGAACCACCTCTTCTGGTGATTTGCTGACCCTTTCACAGCCGCCAATGCAGGAGTTGAGCCTGGGGAACTAAGAACTAGCCCCCAAACATAGTCCCAGCAAAAGCAATTCTCTTAATGCCACCCCAGTCCCAGAGCTCTTGGGAGGTGAATTCCCTCTAAGACAACTCCCAAGGTGTAGCCAGCCTTCTCCTTCCGGCCTGTCCTGGGTCTGTGTGGGCTCCTTTGATTCGGTTCTTAGGACCTAGGGTCTTCAGTGACACGCCTTTATAAAGACACATCTCAGAGCACAAAATACCATCTCCTACTCAGGGGTTTGGGGATCTGAGAATGACTTTTCAAATACATCAAAGATGAGAATAAAGTAGAACATCCAGGAACTGCTGTGAGTCAGGCAGTTTCTTGCCCACCTGTGAATCTGCCTGGCCAGAGGGAAGGGGCAAGGAAGGAGGGCCACATGTGTTCAGTGCCAGTACCCAGCCCTGAAGTGAGCCAGAAGGCAGGGCCAGCCATCACTTCACAAGGGCAATTCTGGTCCCTCTCAGCCCTCAGGCGAGCATGCAGACTAGCCAACTCCAATTTGGGCTGACCACTCAGCCTGGCAGATCAGACTGGTGGGCTGGCCAAAGACTGTCACCCAGACAGGAATCTGGGCACAGGGTGGCCTCAAGAGAATACTCAAGGAATGCACATGGTAAGCACCATAGTGTTAAGAGGGTAATAAATGTATAGGTTCTAGCACAAGGCAGCAGACAATACTTATCTTCCCTTTTGTTGTAAAGTTACTTAATGAGGAAATGTTTATTTTAAAAGCCCTGGGAAATACATCTGTAGACACTTCATATGTAAGACACACGTGTATTATTTGTAATTGGTCCATAAATTTTAGCATCATTTCCCTGGACAAGAAGCCTTGGAGACCAGTTCAGGGAATGATAATAAACAGAAGTTACCTCAGCCCCCTTCCTGGGGAATAATGCAGCCTCCATGGAACCGCTTCTCACAAAACTGTTCTCCCCTTTTCCAGGAATTATAAGTCAGTCCTGCAGAATAAAGGCTTCTTTATTCCACAAAACCCAGCACCTACCTCAAGAATCACCTGTGATGCCAGGTAGATAGATGAACAGGCAAGCAAACTGGAATCATCTACTAGGAGAGACAACACTTTACCCAAAAAGCCACATTTCCTTCTACAAAAATACACATTTAATTACACAAGACATTCTGCCTATGGGGACCCAGACTTAAGGAAAGGACATGTGTGCAGTATACCATGTCTGTAAATGCTCTCACATGTGGACATATCTGCATATGGATGCAGTGGGAGCAGGAGGTGGCTATGACAGTAAAAACTGTCAGTGTTTCCATTGTAAAACTGATTTTTTCATTGACCTAAAACTCAGCCATAAAACTTCTACTCTAAGTAAGGGAGGGACACACACACATACCCGGGTACTGACCCTTCTCAGCAGTACCTTAATGCTAAATGTTTATTCTGGAGTTTTACTATTTTATTTAATTGAGACACTTTTTCTGCATTACATAAAAAACATTTTATTGATATGAAGAATCCTGAAATAGGAGATGATCATATCAGAAATTAATTCCAAAATTTAAGAATAAAATCCCAAAAATGTACATGGCTAATTTTGGGAATCTGACCAAAAGGTTCTGTTTTCTGTTTCTTAGGTCTTTTAAACACTTCTATCTTCTCTCTTCTCCCCCCCCCACCCCCCCGCACCCTCCTCACTGCCCCATCTGCCCTTAAAGCTCTCCCTTTGGAAGCAGTCTTGTATCCTGTCACTCGATTATCTAAGAAATATTACTTATTTCAAAACGGTTCTGTAGGGAGGACCTAAAAGGCATCTAGTGGGAATAATCAGGCCTTCTAACGGCCCTTAAATATGTATTTACATAAAACAGACCATAAATATTCCGACACATGTCGGCATATGACAAGAGCCAAGGAAACTGCTGCGGACTTTGTCACAGTGCCTCTTACACCCTCCCCTGCAGAAAAATGGCTCTTTTGCCTTCCAAACTCGAAAGTAAAAGTGCAAGTGTAACCCACACAGTATAGCTTCATGAAGTCTGAACCCTAGCAGAGAAGAGGAAAGAAGGAAAGGCCACAGATGTAGGGTTCTCACAAGGTAACAGTCCTCTCTTCACTCACCACCTTTGTTTCTTGTAAAAGATTAGTCATAAATAGAACTCCCAAAAATCATGTGGTATACAAATATCCTATATACACAGAGACACCTATAGGTTTAATGTTTAAGAGAAAAAAGAAAGCAAAATGCTGTCTAAAGGAAAGATTTTTAAATAATAAAAGGGGAAAGGGCTCCAATTTATATAACACTACAATCTAAAATAAAGAAGTTTCCCCACCCTACTGATCAGAATCTCATTAATTTCAAGGTCAGAATTCCATTTCACTTTGGGAGACAGACTCATTTAATTTTTCTCCACCCAGGCGTATTCCTGTGTGAGGGATCCATCTCCATGGGGGATGGCACCACCACACAATGCAAACCAGGCAAACAGAAGAGTTATGGCTTTGACACTCAGGAGGGAATGGATATCCGCATCTATGAGTTCTCACTTGACTAACAAGCTTCCTCCTGCTTTGGGTGTCTGATACGGGTTTGGGTTAAAAAGACAGAAAAAATGGCGAAAAGCTGGATGTGTTAGAAGAAAGAAATCTTGATTTCCAGGCGTTACTTTGTGGCATATTCATTTTGAGAGGACTGCATTTTCAACTGGTTATTTGGAGGGAAAAATGGGGCAGAATCTGTCACACCCTAGCCCAGAGGTCAGATTACAGCAGGCCTTGATCACTTGCATGGACAAATGAAAATGAGGATAAAATAAAATGGACTGACATGAGGCCAATCCCTGTTCAGCAGTTATATCCAAAAAGCAGCATCATAACATACACATCAGCTGCACAGCAAGGGCAAAGGTGGAAGAGGAGCTAAACCAGAAGTGAGAGAGAGGCAGCACTGGGGCTGTCACACAGCCGCCTTCTCCCTTAAGTGGGGAGGTCTCAGGCTTACCGACGCTGACATAAAAGACACACTTGCAACATATTTCAAAACCAAAGAGCGATGGATTTACAAGGCAGGTTGATTTTATGATGACTTTTATTGAAAAGGTACGCTGGGTTTAGGCAGATGCCTTTTAGCGCAGGAAAGTTAACACAGTGCCTAATTCAAGGAGACAGCCTGAGGAAGCAGTGCCGACAGGGGAGAGAGCTGCAATGTCTCTATTACTCTCCTCGGCGTCATAAAGAGAAGAGAAAAAAATGATATTCGTGTTGGTGATTATAGAGAGGACAGGAGCACAAAAAGTGGAGAAGAGGGGAAAGCAACCCTCAGATGTAGTTTTCTTAAGAAAACAGAATGAAGTAAATCTTAGAACAAAGGATTGGGTGGGAAAACACCCTCAGTTCATAAACTCTCACCAGGCTTGAAGAACACTGCTCTGTCTACACACAGCCAAAAAGCTTCAAAACACAATTAGTTTCCGATTATATGAGAAGAGAAGTTTGCAGGGTTCAGCTCTCCTAGTTTATAAGTTCCAAATAAAGGTTTAGTTCCAACAATTAGTGAGTGTAGCCTACACCCAACATGAGTAAGTGGTTCCATAAACAGAAATTAATAATAGTTGTGAACATCAAATATGGAGCAGTCATACAGGTCAACCGTGTCTAGTCCTAAAAGTGAGCCTCGGGATAAGCGTCCAGCAAACCTGTTAAATCCCAAGAGAAGCTAGCTTTCTAGCCTTGCGATTACAGGAAAACACAGCTGTTTGAAATGCTTTATGGTGATTGACGACACCTTTGTCCTTCTCTGAAAAATAGCCTGATGTGGACAAGGAGGCCTGAGAGTTGTTAAAATAAAATCACGTGGAGTCTGCTTCATGTGATACAATGAAAAAGCTAAAAATAATACCGAGATTAGAGAAACATAAGGAGGATAGCAAAGAGAGGAGGGATGGACGAGTTTCTTCAGGGCCAACTCCCCCTCGCCCCCCACCGCCCACCACCACCAGGAGCCTACACTTTCTAATGAAATGATACTCACTCTAGTGTATCTATGGCACCCCCCTTCACTCCAGAGTCCCCAGAGAATAAGTCAGTCATGCCCTGGAGAGAAAGGTAATGTGAGGCCAGCTTGCCTCTGGCTACCTTCAGAAAAACCTTTCCCATAAGAACTGTGAATGCACACTGACAGGAGACAAGTAAATGTTAGCACTGCACAGCTAGTGAACAGGAAGTAGCTGGTCCTTCCCACCATCAGCAGCATGAGAAACACCACCGACCTGTTGAACACTACTGGAAGGCAGGCCTTACTAGGAGCGAGGGAGGGCAGGCACCCGAGTACTTACATCTGTCATTCCGATCCTCTGGGCTAGATGATGCTTCCCGATCCGAAATGAGACCAGAGACAGCAAAAATCTTCTTCCCAGTGTCGTCAACCTTAAGTGAACCGGGGGAGCTAGATGGCAGCTGTGTCCCAAAGTCATATTCCTTGCCATCTGCATCTGAGAAGCGCAAGTGGGGAGACTCTGTGTCATGGCAGTTCTTAAGTCTCTTGGCTGGCGTGAAGGCTGACTGGTAGCTCTCCCGGTCCTCAGTGGAAGCAAATGGACGGAAAGCCCCCACACCACTATGATTCAGCATACTGATTGGGGTGCAATCTAGATTTGGGGGGGCAAACTGAGGGTGAAGGTGTAGTAAAGAAGGGGGAAATTCACGATTGGCAAAAGTGCCTGGCACACCACCTTGCCGATGGTACATAGAGGCAAAGGTGTAGGAGCCGTTGGTGAATGGAATATGCACGTCCTTGTCTACTGAGACAGGTACACCGAAAGGTCGAGGTTGCTGACAAGGGATGGAAGCATCACGGCTGGCCTCGGCTGTGGACGCCAGGACCATCAGGGCTGGCGATGCCAGTGGATTGGGGAGGTAGGATGAGTTCTCCATCTTGAACGCTGCCCGGTGTAAGTCCATCGGAGTCTCTGTCTATGGCCGGCGTTACACAAGAAACAGTCTCGCCCGGGAGGGAGGCCGAGTGGCACCTTGGATCAGGGCAGGGGATATTACTGGGGAATCATCCCTTTCTAAGACCTGTGGAAACAGCAAGGAGAAAAAAAGAGGGGGGAGGACAGTCAGGGGGGGCAAAAGGGGAAACCCCAAGTGATGGAAACACCATTCTTCTGGCTTACAGATGCTTGGGCAGGAGACACCACAGGCTTTAGGAGCCAGTGGGCAGCAGCATCAGACCGTTTTCATTCAGGAAAATCAATAGACAACTTACTGTGATGTACGCGTAGCTGACTTTGGTCCCTACACGTTCCGGGTGAAATGCGCCTGAGCCCAGCAAAGGAAAAAAAAATCATAAAACCTCCAAATACAATATTCCCTGAGCAAATGAGCTTTAGAAGGCCAACTCACCAGCAGATTAGGTGGGGCCTATATTTTAAAGGGCTTCCTCCTGCATACACCACTCATGGCAGGCCTGATGTTCAGACACCAGGTTCTACCCTTTGACCCTCCCCACTCCTCTCTTTATCTCCCCCTAACAATGCTCTGGTGCTGAAAAATTCCAAAGTCAAGCATGCCTGGACGGTGACCATCTGTGTGTTAGTTGGTACAAATTATACATGTGGATAAATTACACACATTGGCATATACCTAAACACATATCTTCATGTATCATCTAAGACGGTTTCCAGAAAGAAGCAATGAGTGAAGAAATAACAGCAACGTTTTTCCTGACACACTCCTCTCCACACAGGCTTTCTCTTTTCTCAGATGGAACAAAACCTCCATCAATAAAATGCCTGGCTTCTCTGACAATATTTAAAAACATAATGGGTGCCTTTGGCATATGTCCTCTAGAAGCGTCTGTCTTCCAGGGGCAGCAAAGAACAGATCGGTGATTTTAGTTACTAATGCACTCACTCTTAAGTAGATTTGTAAACTGCCTTGGATTTGCCATTAACATTTAAAGCAAAATGTTAACAAAATTTCCGACTTATTTTGCTCTGCTTATTGGCCCAGTCAGAGTTGATGTCTGAAAAAAAGCCCTGGAACAAATTGGAGCTTGGAGAGACTTATTTCAATTTCCTTTTTACATTTAGGTTGCACATTTTCATGGCCACCGATTCCATTTCAAAATATATTTTGAGGGGGGCGGTAGGTGGGAGAGAAGGGCTACCATTAAAATCAGGATAACATAAGATAAATACTAAGACTTATGGGCTTCAAAAATATACAGTAAATAGGAACTTAATAAAACTCCAACTGTAACCTAAAATGACTATCTGCTACAAATTATAACTTTTAAATTGAGTTATGTCTCAAATGCCCCCTCCCTTAAAAGCCCCACCTAGCTAATGGAGTATGATAGGCATACCCTCAATGAGAAACTTCAGTGAAATTGTAGATGAATCCTCCTGGCTTAATGCAGTGCAAAGAGAGTATTTCCTTATCCTATCCTGTAGCAGACGTGTCATGACTGTTATTAATTGGGAAGATGAGTGCACACCATCAGACTGCTTCCTCATTTGGCATCTTTCCTTATAGACATCATTGCTAAATTACCAGATTATGTATCTCACATTAACGGATTTTGCTCTCTTCCAAATTTTAAATAACTTTCCTGTCAAGTTATAACAGTGCAGGGAATGATCTGCCAAGGACAGCCAGTTAGTTTGACAAGTCTGGGAATCCTGTTCTTGGCTGTTTTCAAGTCAGATTAATTGTTGCACAACATGGATGCCCTGAAAGTGGCTCTAGGGCTGTTCCAAGGGTTCTAGGCAGCTCTTCACCACAGAAAGAATGCACTCCTTGTCTATCAACCAGAACGCCACACCAGGCAGGCTGGAGAGAAGGGCCAGACAATGCTCTTGGGGGTGAGAAGAGGGATGCCCCCCCCCATAGCTGTCACCCAGAGGATTCAATTTCTATTTTTACTTCCTAGATCACCTCATTATGTTAAATGAGTTTCATAAATTAGTAATCTGGCGACAGCACCGGACACTCCAGCAGAACACGGTGAATCACTCAAACCTGGTTATTCATTTGAAACTTCATTATAATGAAAATAAATCAACAATATTTTTCTAGGCCACATCTCTTTTACTCCACTGTGTGGGCGTTGGTCTCTGTGGGGGAAGGGGAAGTGCTTTTTTTCCTGTTCCCTTTTCTTTCTTACCCCTCCTCACATTAACAACTTGTATAGACGAGGCTTCAGCAGACCACAGTCATTATGAAAATCTATAGTTAATACACTCCCAATGTCAAAATGTCATGGGTTTAAACACAGAACCCAAAATAAGAAAACTAACTGACCCTCTTAATTAAAAAAATATGGATTGTAAGATAATCAGCTTGATGGAGCATTTGGATGACTGTAAAGAACCGGGCAAAGGGAAAGTAAGTAACTGTTACTTTTCTGCCTCTATGCTGATTTTTTTTAATTTAGCACTTCGTGCAAATCCAGATTAAAATAACTCCAGCTATTGATCTGAGCAGTGGAATTGACATTAATTTTAGTTCACTTCTCACTTTGCAAAGAGATCAATAGGAAGTAATAACAGCTGACATCCCCACTGAAAGGAGGAGAAAGAAGGGCTGAAGACAGAAATCGAAAAGCAACCAAATAAATCATCAGCTACTTTTCCACGGCATCAGACAAACTCCAAACAGATTGCAAAAAGTCTTTGTTGAATTAACTAAACAAGGAGGAGGGATCAATTCACGAAGCTAAATAAATTGTCTGGCAGGCAGTGAGGCTGGACAGAGGTACCAACAAATACTGAGTTTTAAAATTTCCAAATCCTTGACGTGATGGGCTTGGTTCACTTCTCTGTGTGTGTGTGTGTTTGTTAAATCACACAACCGACCCTGGTTTAGCATGATTACAAAACGCCAGCTAGCTGAATAATTAGTGAGATTACTAATTGCATGGTTAAACATGCCAGGATCAAGACAAATGAAACGAAGAATCTGGCGTTTGGAACGTGAAAACGTCTGAAGCAGGGCTGATGCGCAGCGCTCCGCGCTCTCTGGCGCGAACTGGCCACTTTCGCATTAAAAAACCGAAAGCCGAGAAAAAAGTCTTAGAGAGTGGGCAATTTCCCACCCAGCCTCCGACCAGTCCTGTCCAGGGTCTGGGCTTCCTGACCCGTGCCGGGGATCGGCATAGAAGGAAGCAGCGCTGTTGCTGCTGCTGCTGCTGCTGCTGCTGCTGCTGCTGCTGTTGCTGCTGGGAGCCAAACCCACTTGCAAATGACTGCCACAAAGAAAGCTGCAAAGCCTCTTGCCCCGAGCCAGAGCTCTGAACGCCCACCAAACTATGACCCTGTTGGCAATTAAAACGCACACACAACACCCCTCTGCTTATTACAACAGGTGACATTTTTGTAGTCTCTGAACCGTTTCCAAAAGCCAGGAATTAAAATAAAACAAATTAAACGATATTTTCCCTTTACATAAATAAACTTTTAAAAAATTAACAGGCAACTTAAAAAGCAAAGAACAATGGGAAAGGGGCCTGAGTAGTAGGGGGTTATGAAGAACTCAGGAAAGAATTTTTTTAAGTTCACAGACTTCTTCGCTTGAAGAGAATTCCCTCACACCAAATGCCCAGGGGGTGTTTGGAAACACCGCTCTAACAGAAAATTTACCACCATATGCGAGATCTCAGGAAGCGAAAGGCTACCATGGTTCCAGGGCTGTGGCCAACGCCTGCGGTTCAGACGCGGCCGAGTACTGGCCCCAGATTTGGGGCGGAACCCAGGCCCAGCTTGGCCAGCGGGTTCGAATCCCAGAGAGCCCGGCCTGTCCGAGAGTGCAGGGCTGCAGGGCTGCGGGGCTGTCGGCTCGGCGAGCGGGTGCAGAATTCAGCCGCTCAGTGTTCACCCGGAAAAAGCAACTCTTTTAGGGAAAACGGAGCGAGAACAGGAGAAGGCGAGACCAACAGAAATTTGGGACCGATGCAGAGCCGAGTCCACCATTCCTTGGCCTGACCTCTCCCTCCAGCTTTCGGTTGTCTTTACACAAAGCACACTTTAGGTTCCAACTACGTCCGCAAGAAACAATTTGCTAGTAACTTTGGGGAACGAGGGCGCCCGCCAGGGAAGAACCGACAAGTGCTCGGGCCCCGGGTCGCGCCGGGGTAGGGCCCGTGGGGCAGGGGCTCATGGAGAGGCTGTCCTCGATCAAAGTCCAAGGACCTCATGCCCCTGAGCAGCCCCGCCCCGAGGGTCACTCAGGTCCCTCCGCCGCGCGCCACCGCCCCGGCGGGCAGTCGCCAGGTCCCTGGATTCTGGCTCTCCCGCAAATATTGGCAGGCGCGGGGTCCTCCCAGTTCCCGAGTTGCCGGAGGGAGGTTACTGCCGAGACCGCCCGGCCGCCGCACACCCAGCCGCTCGCAGAACAGGTGTGTTTCCCCGCTTGCTGGGCGGCTGGCCCTGGTCCCGTCGGTCACCAGCGGAGCGGCGCCGCCCTGTCCTCCGCCTTCTGCCACCTTGCCCAGGATCGCCGCGAGTGAACTCTCGCCACTTTTGCCGGGTTTCCGTGGGCCAGAAGGGATGGAACGGAAGATGCCCGCGTGGCTTTTCCTCGACGCTCCTCCTGCCTTTACCCCCTTCCGCTCATTTTCCATTCGGGGGCAGTACCCCCGAGACGGGCAGAGGATGAGGCCCGGACTCTAGCCGACTTTGCCCCCTCCAAGATGACTCGCCCTTTCCTCGCTGCCCGCTCTTTGCCCTCCTTGTTTTTCCTTTCTTTCCTTTAACCCCTCAAGCGGAGTCCGGAGCGGAGCTGAGAGGCGAGACGTGGCTTGGTGGGCATCATGGGCAGAGAGCGCCCGTTTTCCTTCTAGGTTTCTCCCGGGGCAGAGAAGCGGTGCAGGCCAGAGACCCCTGACGGCAGGGTCCAGTCAGACAGTGCTGAGCCCCACACCAAGCACACCCACCCTACGCACCCACCGGTGCCGCACG